ACAATACACTGTATTTACAAAAATAATTAATTAAAAAACTGTAAATACTATACAAATTATGTATTAGAGTTTATCTATTATATTGTTTTTCATACTTCCATATAAAATAAAAACCCTAAACCGCCGGGAATACAATTAATAAAACATAAATCAAAAATAATTAAAAAATAACAAATTAATTGTAATTTAATAAAATTTTTTAAAAATCTATACTTAAAAAATTTAATGTATATTTTTATATTTATTTAAAACAATTATTTTGTTGTTGATAAAATTACAGAGTTTTTAAAGTATTTTTTTGGTGCAATAATTTTTTATATATATACCGAATCGAACCGTTACCCGCAATCTATTAGATAGCGCTCAAACATCTAGTGTTAATCCAACACATATGCGGTGTTTGACCCATACTTACTGTATATAATCAAAAAAAATGACAATAAATTACGTCAATTGCCGGTTAGTTTCAATTATAGTTAAACATACTATAAGTGGTCTTCAATAACTCGGACATAATTTATTGTTGTTTTATATATTTAAAAAATCTATTGTTAGTATTACATTGAATAATATAATACAGTTTATACTGTTTTATAGTAAACCCAATGAATACACTGTAATAATAATAATAATAATAATAATAATAATAATGTAATAATAATACTGAAAAAAATAACACAAAAATTGAGTACAAAATAATTGGACGACATTTTAGGCGACGATTTCTTTGAGTGTTTTGTTTTGTGATTTAAATGATGACAACAAACAATAGCCACAAAACAATTTGCGGACACATCGGCGACCATCATATCGTCTGATTTGTGGCCATTTAGTCGCTGGTCGTCCAACTCCTATATATGCGTGTCAAACACCGTCATCGGTCGGTCCAATCAACCACCGCTGCCGCCGCCGCCTCGGTTGACGTTACCTTTGTTTCATCATCGATGTCTGGCCCCGAAGTCAAACACTGTCTGCAGCCGCGTATAGCCGAAAACGGCTACCGATTGCCCGATCCGTTGCCTATTGGCTCCATATTGACCGACTCTACTAAACGTCAATGGCTATTAGGCCATTCAATCGGTTGCGGCGGTTTCGGCGAAATCTATTGCGCTCAAGAACTGCCAGACGATGACGACGATGAAGACAACAACTACAACAATGACCACTACTCGATGGCCGCTAATAATCATCACAATGGCGGCGACCATTATTCAAACACTGACGATCGGCCATCAAAAGGTCAACAACAACAACAACGTCAACGACATCTGTCCTATAAAAGTCTACCGAAACGCAGTTGTGTCCGTAAGTTCAATAGACAGCAACTGCTATTGAAACGCAAGAAACGTATCGATAAACTACTGAAAGATAAACAACAAAACTATCCGTTTGTGGCCAAAGTTGATCATCTGTCGGGACCATTGTTTGCCGAAATGCATTTCTATCATCGGGTGGCCAAACCGAAACTCATCGATAACTGGATGCTAACCAATCGCTTAGCGTTTATCGGTATGCCTCGCTATGTGGCCTCCGGTATCTTCATATCGCGATCGACTTGTCGACGATTTCGGTTTCTTGTATTGGATCGGATGGGCGTCGACTTGCAGAAGATTCTGGACAAACACCGGCATATATTGTCGCTGAAGAGTGCGTACACTATAACCACAATGATTATCGATATCTTAGCCTACATTCATTCGTTTGGTTACATTCACGCCGACATCAAGGCTTCAAATTTGCTTTTAGGTTAACATTTTGTTTGTTTATAAAATGAATTTGATTTTTATTTCAATGATTCTTAGGTCGCACTGAAACAACATCGCCGGCTCGCGAACTATATCTTGTGGACTACGGTTTAGTTGAAAGATATCGGACACAAAACGGTGAACACAAAGAGGAAGAAGAGGACAATCGTCGGGCCAATAGCGGTACCATTGAGTTTACGTCGCGTGACGGACACGTCGGTGCGCTGACTCGTCGATCGGATCTGGAAATGTTGGTCTACAATACGATTACGTGGCTATCGGGCGGTCGACTTCCATGGATTGACGAAAAAGACTACGAAGTAGTCAGACAACAAAAAGAGTATTATATGAGTCATATCGACAAACTGCTCATCTATGCCTTCAAGACGAAGAGTTCGATACCGAAAGGACTCGACGAGTTTGTCCGATCGATTGGCCGATTGGGCTTCAAAGAGGATCCCGATTACGGTGCACTCAAACTGATACTAATCCGAGCCATCGTCAGCTCGGGCTATACTAATGACGGACTAATTACTTGGGGCAACAAAAGTGAGAATAAAACCAATAGAAAAGGTATTTAATTATTATTACTATTGTTGTCTTAATTGAAAAATGTATTTTTAAATTACCGGTAAATGGTTTTTATAACACACGTGTGTCTCTGAACAGGTGCTAAACGATGCGCAAGTGCTGACCTGGAGTTGGCTAAGAATAATAAACAACGCAAACAACAAACGGATAAACAAGAGTTCGAACAGATCGAGTCGTGTGATATTCCCCGCAAAATGGACAGACATCGAGCTGTTCGATCGGCGCCAACCACTTGTTTGTCGCCGAGACACAGATCCGGTGGTTCAATGACACCAGCCGTCAATGGTGGACAACTCGGCAGCAATGGTGGTGTTGGTGGTAGTGGTGGCCGACGCGTCTACGGCGGCGACATTGAACTGTCTAATCCGACGCCGCAGATGCTCGAAGTGATGGAACGAATTCGACAAAAGTCGGCAAACATCGAACGGGTATTCGATTCATTCGATTTGAATACAATGAACAACGCTATGAATTTGGTTGAACCGAAAATACATCGATTGAAAGTAAAATACAAGAAGAAAATCAAGAAAAATAAGACTAAAACTAATAGTAGTAATAATGGCACCAATAATCATAAGGTAGTAGTTATGGTCAACAACAACAACAACAATAAGATTAGGTCTACGACGACGACGACGACCACCACCACTACCTCTACTAATGGAAAGCCATTAAAAGCCTCGAAGACAACGACGACTAAGAGATTAAGTGGTGGTAATCACAATCACAATAACGGTGTGATGACTGCTGCTAACGGCAAGACTAATAATAAGTACAAGACTGGAGGACAACAAACACATAGTGTCAGCAAAAGAGCGTGTAAAACACGTAACATATTTATTTAGGAACCGCGCGTTTTAGATTTTTTTAGGTGTCGACACACACACTGTGTGTATCCATAATTGTTTGAAGACAACAACAACAACAATACCCCTAATAATAATAATAATAATAATATCTATTATTTGTTTTCATTTGAATTTTTCTCAAAATTTTTCTTATTATTATTATTATTAAATAATACTGATTTCATCCATTGATTTTTTGGGCTACACTTACTTAAGATGCAATGAGAGGAGGGCCTCCCCCAAAAAAATATATATGTTTTAATTATTATTATTATTAAATTAATTATTTTTTATTATTTGCTATCTTTTAAAAAAAAATCTCATTAATTTAATTTCAATGCTAAAAAAACTACTAAAATTTTAGCAATTTTTATTCATCCATATTATTGCTTTAGACATGAAAATATATATATGATTTTTTTTTGTTAAAATTTTAATTTTATCATTTTTAGTTTAAATGTGTATAGTAATAATAATAATAATAATAAATAATTTCTTGTAATTTCCTAAATGAAAAAATTAAAAAAAGAAATAATTTATTTATTTATACATTACATACAAAACATACACACAATTATAAAAAATAATAACATTATATACAATATATAAATTAAATTTTATCATACATTAAATGAATAAATAAATAAAGTTTTTAACTATAATTTTAATATGTAGTTAATTTTTATTGATTGAAAAAATCAGAGTTTTTATTATTTTTTTTTTTAAATTATTTTATTACGGTATTAATTATATGTCAATATTATTGCTTTATTATTAATGTCATTGAATTACAGACTGTCAATACAGTACATAATAAAAGTGCAAATAAGTACAAATTAAATGCCATTTAATGATAATAACATAGTGTCTCAACAAATAACAAACTAGAGATAAAAATCCAAATTGGTTTGGATTGAAATAATAGTAAGTATAATAAATTGAAATTTAATAAATATTTTAAAAAAAGTATATAAGATTTGATTTTTTAGAAATAAATTATAAACAATTATTATATAATTATTATATTATATTTATAACATTAATTACTTTAATAACAGTTAGATTTTAAATTTTTATTTATTAATATTTTCCATTTAAAAAAAAAAACATACAACCCGTATATTTTTTTTATAAATTAATAATTTATTTAACAATAGTAAGCATTAAACAAATATATTTAATAATATTAAATTATCATCATAATTTATAATTTATTTATTAATTAGTTTTATAATTTATAATTTATTTTATCTCATATATGTGTATAATATAACTACATATCCAAACCGTTTTTCCAAAGTGTCTATAATTATCTACTCTATTATATACGTCAATGTTTACGTTATAATACCTGTACTGTAATTAAAGTTGTTTTTTAAAAAAATTTAGTTTTTATGTTTTAGTTTTTGTTTTTTTAAGTTATTTGATACAAAATTTAACAAAACATTAGTTAATTGATTGTTATATAAAATATATATTATATTATTGTTATAATTACAGTAATTATTATATATAATCAAAATCATTGAATGCATTGAAATATAAAATTTATTATAAAATTTTTTAATTGAATTGAATCTCAAATAAGTAGTCAATTGATTGATAATGTTTGCCGGCGTTGTTGTGTCCAAGACTATGCTGACCAATCAATTTTATCGACGATTGGTGTGGCCAACAATAGCACCGATTACACGGGCCACCAGACAACAAGCATTGAATGGCCACAATCACAACGGCGGCAGCAATGGTGTGTTGTTGTGGTGGTCGCGGCGATTGATGTCGTCAAACAACGGCGGCGGCGGCGGCGGCGGTTCACTGGACAACAACTTTCTAACGGCTCAGCAATCGTTGAAAGGTTTGACCGCAGAACCCGATAACGATATAAAGTTGCGACTATACGGTCTCTACAAGCAGGCCACCAGTGGCCAATGTACGGCGCCTAAGCCGTCGGCATTCAATATGGTCGATCGGGCCAAATGGACGGCTTGGTCACAGTTGGGCCAACTGTCCAAATCGGAAGCTATGCAACAGTACGTTGCAACTGTCAACTCGCTTACCGGCGCCGATGGCGGCGGCAGCGGCGGACAAACTAGAGGTCAACAAACTCCTAATGACAAAGAAGACGGCCAACATCTGTTGGTTGAGAAGCGCAACGGTGTGACCAAAATAACGCTCAACAGACCCGACAAATTCAATGCAATCACAAAACCCATGTACGAGTCAATAGCGTCGGCTCTGAACGATGCGGCCAACGACGAGACCATTAAGTTGGCCGTCATTATCGGTAGCGGAAAATTCTTTTCCAGTGGCAATGATTTAAGTAAGTAATTGTTTACCGTTTAATTGCCAATAAATTACCGATGAAATCAATTTGATGATTGTTAACAAATATTTAGGTAACTTTGAACAGGCGTTCAAACAATTCAAAGGCGATATGCGGGCCGGAACTGAACAGTCGGCCAAAGTGTTGCAACATTTTGTGGCCGCGTTTATCGATTTCCCAAAACCTCTGATTGGAGCCGTCAACGGACCGGCCATCGGTATAGCGGTCACAACATTGGGTCTGATGGACTGTGCAGTGGCCAGCGATTCGGCCTATTTTCAGACACCGTTCTCATCGCTGGGACAGTCGCCCGAAGCGTGCGCTACGTTTACCTTTCCACACATTATGGGCTTTTCGAAGGCATCGGAAATGTTGTACTTTAATCACAAGATGTCGGCCGCCGAAGCTCTTCAATGCGGACTAATATCGCGAATCGTACCGTCGGCTCAGTTCGACGATTACATTGAAAACTGGATATTCGGCGATAAAGGATTGGTCAACACGTGTTATCCAAAATCGATGCAATGTTCAAAACAATTGGTCAAAAATGATAGTTTTCGGCTGAAATTACACGAAATCAACAAAGAAGAGTGCGATACCATCAAAGAGAGATGGATTTCAGATGAATGTCTGGATGCCATACAAAAGTTTCTCCAGAAAAAGAAATAATAATAATAATAATTAATTAATTAATAATAAGTAATTAATTAATAATAATTATTATTATTATTACGGTATTTGTTTTGTTTTTTTTAATATATACATTGAAATTACCGTAAATACTGGTATATATATATATAAGTGATATATATATTTTTATATAAATTATCGGTAATAGCGTTAGATAATTGGTAATTACCATAAATCTAAGTTTTATATATATATATTTTTATATAAATTTTCGGTAATACTGTTAGATAATTAGAAATTACCATAAATCTAAGTTTTATATATATATATATATTTATAAATTATCGGTAATTATTAGATTGATTGGAAATTACCATAAATCTAAGTTTTATATATATATATTTTTATAAATTATCGGTAATTATTAGATAATTGGAAATTATCGGTACCATAATTATCAAGTTTTTTAAATATAAATAAATATTGCCGGGTATAAATCAAATGTTTTTTTATAAAAAAAATTACTCTATATGTACGGTAAGTATTTGTTGTATTTATTATTAATAATTTTGTATCTCTTTTTTAATTAATTAAAATAAATTTATTATTATATCTTTATATATATAAAAAAATTCAAAATTTGTTCAAATGATTTAATAACTAATAACTACAATAAAATTTTAATAAATTATTCAATCAATCAATCAATCAATAGCCATACTATTAAGTGACGCCATTATAGCGATACCGGCTATGATTAACAGCGACTGTATTAGCGAACGACTGGTCTGTGTTTCGGTTAACAGTTCGGGTAATATAGTGGTCAACGAAATATACAGAAAGGCGCCCGAAGTGAACGGCAATATCCATGCGATGTTAATATTGATGGTCTTCACCGAATCGGCTAACAGGACAATGAAGGCACCAATTACGGTGATCGACGATATGGATAACTGTGCCCGAATGGCCTGCCATTTTGTAAAACCGCATTTGACCAGTATGGCAAAGTCGCCAATTTCGTGCGGTATCTCATGTATGGCAATGGCCAGTGTAGTCAACAAACCTGTTTTCGTGTTTACCAGAAAACTGGCACCGATGGCCAGTCCATGGGTAAGATTATCCAATGAATTGGCCAATAGATTCAGATAACCCGATATATCATTAGTTTGGCAAACATTTGTTGTTGGCTTATGTTTGCTGTCTGTATGTTATTGATTAGATTGAAAGACAAAAATTAAAAAATATTAATTATTTTTATACATTATATTCATGATTATGAATGATAAAAACTAAATAGTTGTAACAATTTTACAATATCTATAGATTTATATATACTCTAAACTTTTTTTTATGATAATACATGTATTCTCATTAGTAATTATTTTAGAAATTACTTAAAATCATTATTTTAATTACCAGTAAATTAATATATAATATTATATCAATTAACATGTTTAAAGCTATTATTTTAAAAAAAAAAAATTATTTATCAATTATCACTAAATAAAAAATAAATAGTACAGTATATTATTATAATAATTTTATAAATACTACATTGTATTAATAGTAAAATAGATATTTAAAAAAAATAAATAAAAAATAATTACTATTATTATTGTTGTTAATTTTGTTGTTGTTTGAATTAATATTATTATTATCACTATTATTAAGACTATTGCAATGTTGTTGTTGTTGAACACTATTTAGATGTATAGACAGGTGCTGTGCAAATGAGAAACACAAAACACCGGTCAATATCCAGAATCCTAGATATAATTGTAGATAACGTGCACTCATACCGGTAGTCATCAATTGGTCACTGGCTTCGGGCAATAGATGAAAAAATACGTCACCGAGTAGTCCGCCGACAGCGAAACTTAACACATATTTCAATGACACAAAATTTGTGCTGTTTTTATCACCACTACTACTATTATTATTACTACTATCGATAAACTGGTAGTTAGATTGCGATATCAAAAACAATGGTACCATCGATAGGATACCGACCAGCAAACTGCCGACGGCCGACATTAACCATACATTGAATCTATTGTTGTAATTATCGTAGACTATGTATGAATAGTTATCAATTAAATGTTTAAATAAATTATTATTATTATCAGTATTTATTAGATAGGTCATTTTTGTTTAATTAAAAATTTTTGTAATTAATTATTATTTATTTAGTTTTTTTTCGACAATAATATTATTTATGACATTTAATTATATATATATATATATTCACACAATAATTTAATTTCCAATATAACTAATGAATAGATAAATAATTATTTTATATATGTATTTATTATACATACTATTTAATATAAAATACATAAAACTTGTGAATGACTTATTAAATTTGATTCCCAATTTGATGATAACTTTAATGCAAAATTGATAACAACAAAAATAAATAGCAGTTAGACTTAAAAGATTTATCAATACAATTATATATTTGTTATGTTACAAAAATATTTATTTTGTAATATAAATAAATATACATAAATATAGTAGATATCGCACAAAGTTAGCAAAAATTATTTTTATTTATATGATATCAATGAATATAATAAATACTGTATGAAACATTATATCCTATTTAATAGTTAATATATTAGTAGTAATCGGCGTAAACTTTAATTAATTAATAAACACATTTTTTAAACAAAATTATTATATTAATTAAAAAAAAATAAAAAAATACTCACACATTATATACACGTATTTAACATTTATTTAAAAAAAAAATAAAAATATGTTTAAACAATATACTGTATTTTGTTATTGATATATAACTGTAGTATTTTTTTGAAAATGTCAATAGGGTTTAACTTTTATTATATATATAATACAATATGAAATAAAATATCAAATAATAGGATTGCAATTTTGTTATGAATAAAAAAACTTGAACAACAATTAACTACATAGCGATTTAAACAATTTATATAACAAACATATGTATGCCTTTGAAAATTAGTTTCAAATAAAATTATTATTATTAGTATTAGTATATATATATTATATATAATTCAATAATAATAATAATAGTAATAATAATAATAATAAAATGTAGTGCATTGGTAAATTAATATAACAGATGTACTCAATATAGTACACATAATTTTTTTTTGTTCAAATGCTATAATAATTTTAATTATTATTATCTATAAATACAGTATAGTTTATTGAATACAAAAAAACTATATAATTATTTAATATATGGTTATAAACACATTCAACAAACAACAAAAAATGATTGAAAATAATTTTTCTCTGTTTGTGTGCACACTATAAAAGTGAATGCACTTTAAGACATCTAATAGATTGAGAGAGAGAGAGAGAGAGAGAGACAGAGAGAGAGACAGAGAGACAGAGACAGAGAGAGAGAGAGAGAGACAGAGAGAGACAGAGAGAGAGAGAGAGAGAGAGAGAGAGAGAGAGAGAGAGAGAGAGAGAGAGAGAGAGAGAGAGAGAGAGAGAGAGAGAGAGAGAGTTAATGTTTCATACAATATACTTATAACTTAAAAATGATTATATAATACTGTATATATTGAGACAACAGGTTTACAGTAATAACATTATAACTATTAACACAGTTTTATAATTTCTTTTAAGTTTAAAATAATAATAATAATAAATATAATACAGTAAATAGATTATTGTCTGAATGCAGACAATAATATAATAATAATAAATTAGATTGTTTTTCAAACATATTATTTAGTAATTTTCTTATTTATAAACAATGTATCATTTGTACACAATTGTTATCATTGATGTTAAAAACAAATGTTAAAATTGATAATAAAATTGGTGTCACTTTTCTAGGAAATTTCCAATAATTTTTTTCGGTCTTTTTTGATAAAATAATATAGCATAATAATAATAATAATAATAATAATAATAATTTATAATTATAATTATAATAACAATTAGAATAATAATAATAATAATAAATAAAAATAATAATTAATAATTAATAATTAATAATTAATAAATAATAATAATAATAATAAAAAATAATAATAATAATAATAATAATAATAATTAATAATAATAATAATAATAATAATAATAATAATAATAATAATAATAATAATAATAATAATAATAATAATAATAATAATAATAATAATAATAATAATAATAATTAATAATAATAATTATTAATAATAATAATTATTAATAATAATAATTAATAATAATAATAATAAATAATAATAATAAGAATAAATAATAATAATAACTAAAATAATAATAATAAGAATAAATAATAATAATAACTAAAATAATAATAATAAGAATAATAATAATTAATAAAATAATTATTATTAATAAATAATAAATAATAATAATAACTAGAATAATTAAAATAATAATAATAATTATAATAATAATAAAAATAATTATAATAATAATAAAAATAATTATAATAATAATAAAAATAATAATTAATAATAATAAATAATAAATAATAAATAATAAATAATAAATAATAAATAATAAATAATAAATAATAAATAATAAATAATAAATAATAAATAATAAATAATAATAATAATAAATAATAATAATAATAAATAATAATAATAACTAGTGTAATAATAATAAGAATAATATTAATAATAATAATAACTAGAATAATTAGAATAATAATAATAATAAATTATAATAATAATAAATAATAATTATAATAATAATATATACTAATAAATAATAATAATAAATAAATATATGATTAATTAGTTTTGTTAACATATATTTATTTTTTATTAAGTTTACAACAATTTTTCTTTTATTTTTTTATATTGTTTACAATTTTTCTTTTATTTGTTTTATTGTATTACATTAACAACAATTGTTATTCAAGATTTGATTTTTATTTTATTTATATTTTTTATTTTATTTAAATTTATATTTTTTTATTTGTTTATTTTTTTGTTTATTATTTGGTATTTTATATAATATTTAAATAAAATAAAATAAAAATAAAAATAAAATAATGTTTAAATTGAATAACAATTAAATTGATTGTTATTTTCCGTATAAGTCTTCAACCATTTCCTCCAATTTTTTCTGTTCGTGCGATAAAAGCAATGAATCGACACAACGACCAAACACTTCATTACGAAAGCAGTCTTGTCTTTAAATATATATTAAAATAATTTATTAATTAATTAAATATAATATTAATTTAATAAATAAATAAAAAAAATAAATTTTACTATACCTTATATATATTAATATAAAATATATTTAATATATTATAATTTTAATTTTGTTATAAACAAATTATAAATACTGATTTAAAAAAATATATATATAGTATATATATATAATATTTTTATAAATATAAACTATTTGTTAATAACAAAATTTTTATACGGATTTAACTATGTTATTTATTTGATTATTTTAAATAAAAAATTATTTATTATTAAATTTGTTCTATATATTATAAAGTAACCTTGAAAATTTCTATAAAATAAAGTTATAAGGTTAATATTGAATCAAATATATATATATAATATATTTATTATTTTTTTAAAAAATATAAAATGTTTTTATGAATTTATTAAATTTATTCAAAATTTGATAATATAGTGACAAATCTTTTTGTTAAATAACAAATAGATTACTAACACTACTAATATGTTTCTATAGAAAAAACATTTTATAGAAAATAGAAACCTTTTAAAAAATTGATAAATAATAATCGATTCATTTGAAAATAAAATTTAAAAAAATAAATGAAATTTAAACTAAAATTCTATAATATTCTATAGAAATAAATTGTGTTTGAATGTATGTGTGTGTGTATTATATTTATAAAAATAATATTATTAATATATATTAATATTATATATTATATATAGCTAACATATACTAATATATATAATAATAATAATAGTAGAATACCTGCAACTGGTGTGTAGGTCGGGTTCCCGGTATAGTTGATAGCATTCCTCGCAAACCCGATCGAGTCGAGCAAACTTTGCCTTATCATAGATACCGAGACACCCGAGTCCGGCAAATGTGCGCTTATGGAGGTCACGGCACTCGGCAACCGATGACGAGATCGATATGATAGTCAGTAATAAAAATAATACTGACATCATTTTGATATTTCTAGATAAATTTTTGAGATATTTATTGTTTAGAATTTTTTTAGTAAATTATTTTGTTTGTAAATTTAAATTTATAATTAATAATTTAATTATTTTTAAAAAATAAATTTAGTTTTATAATTAAATAATAAATAATTAAAAATACAAGTAATTATAAACTTTTATTCGATTAGTTAATGACTAATTAAAATTATATATTTTTTATTATTATTATATAATTAATAAATTAGAATAATATATATAAGAGTTAATTATATTATAAGATTTAATTTTAAGATATTTTTTAAGTAAATTTTATTACAGGTAAAGTAAAAAATTATAGATTAAAAAATACTTTTTACTCACGATTTGAATTGATTAAAAATCATTTTCAATAATATAAATATATTATATAATTAATAAAAATTATTAAATTATTAATAACAACTTTTTAATGACTAGATGTTTATAGGGATAAAAATCTTTAATGATTTACAATAAATCTCCAAATGTTATTCAAGTCAAAATAATTTGCATATTTTATATAAATTTGATAAAAAAAATTTCATTCAATTTAATTTGTAGCAAATATATATTTTATTGGTTGGGAGGCGGGAATTAAACAGTTTGAAATAGTTATTTTAGTATATACTTTTAATCAAACAAATAAGCCACACACACACATATACACTCACACACACCACACATACATACATACATACATACATACATACATACATACATACATACATACATACATACATACATACATACATACATACATACATACATACATACATACATACATACATACATACATACATACATACATACATACATACATACATACATACATACATACATACATACATACATACATACATACATACATACATACATACATACATACATACATACACATATATACATACACACACACATACATACACACACACATACACACACACACACACACACACACACACACATACACACACACACACACACACATACATGCATACATACATAAATACATACATACACACACACATACATACATACACACACATACATACATGCACATACACACACACACACACACACACACACACACACACATACATACATACATACATACATACACATACATACATACACACACATACATACATACACACACACATACATACACACATAACACACACAAACTAAATGTTCAAACATTTATAACTAGCACTACATAATTAAGGCAATTATTATTATGGATTTTTTTTGCCTGTTTATGTATATTTTTAAAAATCTTATAGAAATAATATATTTATTAAAAATTTATATTTTTTGTTAAACTAAAATCTTATAGATATATACACACACATACTGTACATACATATTATACATACATACATATCTTATTGTTAAATGTAATAAATTTGAATGAAATATAGTAAAAATCCTACACATATTTGCATCATTTCAATGGATTATCTAATTTAATATAAAGTTTGAATCCACTATTTAATTAAAAATGAATTTCCGCTACTAATGTTGTTGTGTCGTTTGATTTTACAACAAAATTATATATGTAATTATAATTAAAAATCAAATGATTATCTATTTATATATACTATAAATATATAATAATAGTATAAATGAAAACATGTTGATTAACTAAGCGGGATATTCATTATACTAAATACTATAGAGTGTAGAGTTTATTAATATAGGTTTATCATATATATTGTATAGAATATATATATATATATATTTATAGTTATTATAATTTAAATATTTAAATAAATTCTACATAAGATCAACAAATTTAATCCAATTTATTATATGTTATGTTTGTATATATATATTAATATATATACTATATTTTAATGGTATTTAGTTTAGTGATGTCATGATCTCTCTCTCTCTCTCTCTCTCTATATATATATATATATATATCGTCACACGTGTAAAGGGAAGGAACTGATAAAAAAAATTTACTTTACATCAAACCAAACCACAAACCAAAAAAAACCCGACAATTATTTAGCAAAAAAAAAATACAATAAATTTATAATTTTTATTGTTTGAATAACTTAAAATTTTATAGAAATAATTGAAACCAAATTTTGAATGAATATTATTGTACTGTATATAAAAAATATATTTTTTTTGTTGATCCTAAATAAATACAAGCAAATTTGAATCCAAAAAAACTTAAACCCAAATAGTTTTACGGGTTTACGGTTTCGGGATTACTGTTCCCTTAACCCGAAATATTTATTATTATTTCTATCTCTCTCTATATGTATGTAAACACGTGTATCTATAGTATTATAATTATTTATCAATCAAGGCTTAGCCACCACTGATTATAATTTTTTTTAAATTGCATCATTAAATTTTATACGTTAATATAATTAGTGAAAAAAATATGTTTTTTATTTTTAAACCTACACAAATATACAGTAATACTTTAAAGTAATAGACTATAGATTATAGTATAATATAGACTAGACTCTATTATATCATAAATATTGTCCAGTCTATAAATTTTCAAATGAATTTATTATGTTTTCATTAAATAAAAATTTTTTTTTTCATTACTTAAAATTTTGAATAATAAATGTATAAATTTTATTATATTTTATAAACAAATTTTTATCACAGTAAGTATAAAATATATCAATAATAATAATTTTATTAGTATTAAAAGCACTATATTATAGCACTATATATATATATATCATATATTGATTGAGAATTACCAGAATATTCTATACATTATTAGTTAATAAATAAATTATCTAATTATTAAAGTAAATGGGTGTCAGTCTTGACGGTTTAAACTTAGAGTAAGGACTGTTGGGTACACCGATTACTAAGATATGATTGTCGTTATAGTGTAATCTCCACATTGACTTATGATAGCCACGCGGATCGAGATCCCAGATCTGCAAACACTTGGCCAACGATAGCCATGAACTGTAGTCTTTCGAGGATAACATTTTGATAAACACTACGTAAACCTGTCCTCCTTTAGTGGTCGACGACGGTATGAATGACGACTCGCACGGACTCTTGCTGTGGTCGACCACTACTGCCTTACGGATCATATCGTAAATCATTTGTTCGTAATTGTCTTTTTTCAATCTATTATTTATTTTTTTTTTGTTCAAAAAATTATAATAATTAATTTTTTTAGCAACAAAAAAAATAAGGTGTGACTCACATATTACGTTCGCACTTGAGGGGAGGGGGATTTGCCAAGGCGAATTTTTGCGAACAAGATGGAGGGGAGGGGTAGAGACATTAAGAACGTTCGCATTTAGATAATATTTTATTTCTTATGGTGGGGGGGGGGTAGCGGTTAGGGACAAGCGAGCGTAATTTTTTTAAATGATTACATGCGAACAAGTGCGAACATAGGGGAGGGAGGGGTCTAGATTTCTTAAAAAGTGCGAACGTAATATGTGAAACACGCCTAAGATATATTTCTAATCTAAACTTAATGAATGAATACCTGTCGACATCTTTAAGCACAACATCACTCATAGTATTGAAGGCGTGTTTTTTAAAGTAGACGTCCTGAAAGTATGAGTTCATATTGACACCGGACGATCCAAAATGATAGGTCCGCGAAACGTCCGGTATGATACACTCCCGTTGACGTCTGACATCGGGTAATCTCATCCACATATCCCAATCCCATAGTTTTTCTGGTGTCGGCCATTTGGGTTCCAGTTCCTCTTTGTAGAGACGTCTGGTGAGCAGCCAACCTAAGCCGGGCATTGTTTCGACTCTATAGAGAACACCGGGATCAGCACTGGTATGTTCGTATCCCTGATCATTCCAGGCGCTGATACAATAGATGGACGGATCTTCATCAACAAGTTTAATGGTTTGCTGAAAATATTGGAAAAAATCCGTAGATATATCGAGATCTTCTTCAACAATGATGGCGTACTGAGCACTAGGAAACAGACTAAAAGTGGCCGTCAGACTGGCCTTATAGTGTTGACTAATACGACCGTTGGCCACACCTATTGGCGTGTGTTGTATGACTCGCAGACCAAACAATTTGGTCACTTCGAGCGGTTCTTCAAAGTAGCCGTCAATGAATACAGTAATCATCGACGGATTGCAGCCTTTGGCCGATAATAATGAGCGTAGCATTCGATATAAATATTGCGGTCGATTAGCGGCCACTACAGCCACGGGAACCGATGATATCGGTGACAATGGGTCGACAGTGTTGGCAAAACTTATGGGTGCCGGCTCTGAACAGCTACAGACACTGCCGTAACCTTCGACCCGAGCACAGAAAGCTCGGCGTCGGTCGCTATCTTCGTTGTCCGTCCAACGACATTGCGAGCGACTGACCGAAGTCAACATAATGTCCACTCTGAGGACAACTGGTGCGCCCCAACTGTTGAACTCTGGCGACCGACTATATCCTTCGGCCAACATTTTTTCACCCTTTACCACAACAATAGCCCACATATCACGCCAGGCGATCTGCTGCGATCTCAGCGAACCCAACCGTTTCAGTAGATCTCTGGTCGACTGTTTCATCTGAAACGTACCCTCGTCTTTGATACACATGACTACTATTCGGCCATTGGTTACCATCGACAGGAACAGTGACATTGCTTCGTCTTCATGGGGCGAGTAGGTGTCAAACAAGCGCTCGGCCATCACTGAACCGGTCGATTCGTGCAATACTAGGACATGAATGCCACGACCATTAGTACCGCCTGAACTGTTGTCCGAGTCTTCTAACAACTAAATTGATTGATTGATTGATCCATAAATTATTTATAATAAATTTTTAATCAATACATACACTGATGCCATCACTGGTTATACTGGCTCTTGACTGACTCGACACTACTTCCAGACTAATGGTATGACCGATACCACCACTACTATCCCATTGCTGACGACTAGCAATAGTAACAGTTTCTTTGAGAAAAACAAATTATAAATACCATAATTAGCTATTAAATTAATATTTATTTATTTTTTTGGAAATTATTTTATATTAAGAAAAAAAACATAATTAACAAATTTTTAAAGAAAACATACTTTCATTTAATATTTCATTTTTCAATTGTTTGTTTGTCTCAATAATAAACATCATATTTATAGCGACAGTTAACATCAGAATAATGATAAATAAAAGCTATAATATATATAAAATAATGAAATAATTAGTTTATTTTATAATTTAATTTATAATATAATATAAGTAATTGTTTGCAATAGTGTATCTAATAGCTAAATTAGTTAGAAAGTTTATTTTAATTAAAAAAAATGATTGAATTATCTTTTTTATTGAATACAGGTAAACAATTAATATATTTTTTAATTAAATAAATTACCTGGATTAAATTTTGAATAACATTATTTGAAATGATTTTCGACAATAACATACATGATTTATTCATGTAATTCATGTTTATTAATGTATTAATATATAACAATTGAATTAAAATAGAAAATTGACATTTTATTATTTAATTAAATCATATACAGTATATAAGTAATGCAATTGTCATAATTGTAAATAATTATATAATTAAATGTTTATGATATAAATATTTTTTTTTGATTAATATACACATGTTTTTATGTACTGTAATATTACAATAGTATAGTAGAGTGTATATACACTATTAAACAATAATATTGTATATTATATATAAAGTAATTGTTGTTTTCAGAGATCAATAGAAAAAAATCAATAACTTTGACTACTATTAAACAAATAGATGGCTTTATACTGTATTATATAATATGCTAGAAATGTGTATAATATGTAGACTATATCTAATATGTAGTCTATCTATGACTTAAATATTTTAATATTTATTATTTATATATAGTTTTAATTTCAATATTTAAGTGAATAATATTACTCGTATTTGTGAATTTATTTATTATAATTTATATTTAATAAATATATAGTATATTTTTTAAAATAATATATTTAAAATTTTTAAAAATAATACAAATATGTATTAATAAATATTAATCAAATGTCTTATTGATTTATTTAAATAAAAATTTTTTTTATAGATATAATTTACAGATAGTTTAAATAGTTTAAAAACTACATATTTGGCATCTCTTTCACTCTCTTTTATAAAAAAAATTTTTGACTCAAAAAAATAAGTAAATTTGATGTCATTTAACCAAACATTGACACCAGGCAATGAAAATACAAGTATAGTGCAAATAAACTCATTTAATAATATATAGATTAAAGATTAGTATATATATATATAATATTTTTGACGCGACATTTGCTGTTTCCTTATAAGTCTATAATTTTAATAAATTTCGCAAAAAAATGTTAATTTTTTTCAAATAATATATTTAAAATATTAATAACAAATTTGTAATTAAACAATAAAAAATAAATATAAATAAATAAAACATTATATATAATTTATATCTCTAAAAATTTTATTCTAATTTGCTTAATAAAAATATTATTAATTAATAATCAAGTAAATAATATAATTATTATTGGCTTTTAATTTGTATATAATATACAATACACTAGATTTGTTAGTTTTACTTATACTATACAATGTATATTATAAACTGTATACTTATAATTATATAATTTAAGCTAGTAATATTATTATTTATTATTAATTAGATTATTAGTATGATATTAAACAATTATAATAAATTGTGAAATTAAAACCTAAACTTAGATATTAATATAAAATTCATTAGAAAAATCTATGCATTATTTTTTTAGACTAATAGTTAACCTATTAGTTAATAATAGATTATTATTCATCTATCAATATACAGTATATTTACTTTATTATTAATATATTAATAAAATTCAAATTTGACTGATAATTTTTTTAAACATAAAAGCATTTTAATATCTAAAAAAAATTATAAGCAAAAAGAGACAGCAAATTAAAATTTTTAAAAGTGAAAAGAGTTCAACAAACTTGAAGTCAACAAAATTATATAATATATATATATATATTTAAAAAAAAAATTATTATATTTCCAGTTTCTCTTTCTCTTATAATATATATATATAAATGATTTTGACGATAAAAGTTAGCTGTAGTTTATAAGTTATGTATAAAATGTATAAATGAAATAAATTGTGAGTGAAAATTAAATTTATGGTTTTATCCAAAATAATAATCAAATATAAAAGGTAATAAATATATCCAGTTTAGAAGTTCAAGTTTAATGCCATTTGAAATTTTTTTTATAAAAAAATATATAATAAATTTAAAACTATAAAGTGGTTTATTTTGTTTTAGCCCCAAAACCGGCGGTACTGATGGTATTTAAAAGAGCTGTCCCAACACTACAACTCTTTAGTGTCGCTTATTTGGTCCATACAATCAAACCATTAGCTAACTGACTGACCGAAAAGTCTTTAGTAGTTTACTATTTGTTTAGTATTAGACAATATTTTCAAACAAACAAAAAATCAAACAAATATGAAACTTATTTTCAGTCTATTCATCGTTTATATTATTCAAACAATATATGGTATAATGAAAAAAATATTTATTTTTTTTTAGTTATAAATGTTTTTTTTCTATTCATTAAATGTTTTATTTTCTTTGCTAAATGTTTTCCAGGCGCTCCCGTTGACCGACCGGTAATTACTGGCGATTTAAGGCAGACATCCAATGACGCTGCTGTAGTAGTTTCCGAGAACTCCAGTCCTCGCCAGCCGTCGGTAAACAAATTGGTTGCCCATAAAGTACTGACAGCCGATGATCAACATCAACAACAACACCTGTCAGGTAACGAACAGATCCAGACAGTCGTCAATAATAGAGAAGCACCGAAACCAGGTGTTGTTGTCGCCGTCAAATCATCAGTGATGGCACCACAGCAAAGAAAGTCGGACATCATCGATGAAGTGGTTGCTAAAGAAGCTCAACCAGTGGCAAAAGTAGCACCAGTTGAGGGACAACAACAACAACAGGTGCTTCAACAACGAAATACTGAACTACAAAAAGAGATCAAACCAATAGTAGATGAGCCGAAAATTGTTAACAAACAAACTGATGAACAAAAAGTCATCGCCAAAGTAGTTGATGACCACAAAAAAGAAGATGCAGTCATCAAAATTGATCACAAATTGGATTCCGGTTTAAGCCATAAGACTGAAGTTAAGCAAGAGTTGCCACAACCATCGGTATTGTCGATGGACTCAATTGCTATCAAACCAGAAGAGCAGCCGGCCATCAAAAGTCAATCATCGGCGCCGGTAGTTCCCGCCGCCGCCGCCGCCGCCCCTGAGACTGTAGTTGTCCATCGATCAGACAACAATGATGACAACAAAGTCATTGAAATTGCTAACAAAAAAGATATCATCAAACCAGCAGTAGTTAGCAGTGAAATCAAGCCAATTGTCTCCGCTATTGAAGCCAAAAAACATATCAATGAACCAGAAAAAGATGATAAAAAAATTGTTGATAACATCAAGAAAGACGACACAAACAACAACAAAAAGATTGTGACAACACTTGAAGAGAAAGTGGACGAACCGGTAAAAAAAGTGGTCGTATCGGCGCCGGCGGCGGTCGTCGAGTCAAAAGTTGCCGAACCAGTCATACAACTAACTGATAGCGATCTCAAAAAGACTGTCATACAGACTACTACTACTAATATTGAAGAAACGAAAAATATTGTCAACATTGATCATATAGCCGAAGATGGAGTGGTAGCCAACAGTGGCGGTAAAGTAGTTGCTGTTGAACACCAAGTTTCCGGTAATGTTGCCATCGATGCCACCAAACCTATCGGTGCTGCTGTCATAGCTTCTCCTACTCAACCTCAACAACAATAACAATAATTAATAATCAAACTTTGGACGTAAAAACTATAATATTTGAAAGTGAAATAAGTATATATAATGATAAGTAAAAAAATAAAATGTAATTTAAATTAATTAATCATTTTTTTAACAGTAATTTATTTTTCATTATTTATTTATTGTTTTTTTATTATGTGTGTGTGAATCTCCATAAAATAAAACACTTTACTGTAACTTAATTTTTTTTTTGATTTATTTATTTATTTCTCTTAATTAAATAAAGAAATTTTCATATCCATAAAACTTGTTTCTTGTATTTATTTTGTATTTATTAGTAGACAAATATAATTATAAAGTTTTAACACAAATGATATAAAAAAATAAATTTAAAGATGAATATTAATAAAATAACTTATACTATATATCAATATATTGATAGTATTGATATATTTCATTGACTTTCAATGTCTTCAATGTTAATAGTTTTTAAATATTAGTAATAAATTTTATAAAATCCTTGTTTGGTTAATATAATCAAGGTTTTTTTTTATTTAATTAATTATTTCAATTTTAAAACATGTTAAATATTTTTATTTATAGTCTTAATTTAAGCATAAACAATTTTCAAACAAAAATAATTTGCACCTAATATTTTAATAAATTAAATTCAAATATTACTTGAAAAAATAGTAACTTTAATAAAAATAATATATAATAAAATAAAAGTTGATTTTTTATTTAAAATTGTTTTTTTCTTAATAAAAATAATTCGTAAATTTCTAATTGTTATATAAAATTAATTAATTATTGTTACTATAAATTTAGTATATAATGTTTTAGATGACAATATAAACATATACAGAATATAATGAAAATATTTAATAATTATTTATAATAATTATAAAAATAATATTTTTTTATTTACTGTATACTAAATTTTATGATAAATAATTTAATTAGAGTAGAGTTCAAAAAATAATTGTCTATTAATAATAATAATGTCTGAAATAAATATGTGTAATAATGATAATTGTGTTAATAATGATAATAAATCCATTGTTTTCATAAAATTGGCTAATCATAGGATAACAGGTATTTTATCATAAATTATAACAATTATTAATATATTTATTTTTTAAAAAAAATAATATTTACTAACAACAAGCTATTTTTGTTAACAATTTTTAACAGATAAAAATATTAAAAAAAAAATAAATTGTTTAAAAGTGTTAAAAATTAGAAATATATTTAATTATTTATATACAGAAAACTAATTATTATAATTTGTTTTTTATATATTAAACGAAATATTATAGTAAATAAAAACAAATTAATGGCAAACAGTGACTATTTTAAAGCAATGTTTTCCTTATCAATGTTGGAATGCAATCAAACAGAGATCATAATCACGGAATCGGATCAATCAATGATCGATGCCTTCAAACTGGTTATCAATATATCTGATGGGGATTATCATCAACAACAACAACGGCTTTCATTGTGGCAATTGTTTGACGCCATAATAGTTGCCAATAAATATCAATTCATATCAATTGAACACAATATCAGCGACAGATTGATGCAAATAATGCTAGAAAATCCACCAAAATATATAACTGAAGAAATTGATTACCAAATAATCAATAATCAAATGATAAATAATAATAATAATAGTGATAATAAAGTTAATGATAAGTTTATCAATTTGTTTGATGTTCATGATATGGCCAAAAAATATCAATTGATATATTTAACAGATATTACACAAAAGCTTATCAATCAAAGGGCACAACAAGTGGTCGATAGTTGGAAATCGTTATACAATTATTGGTGGTAAACAAAAATTATTGATAAATTATCAAAATGTCAATTAAATTGTATGTTTTATTTAAATGGAAACATACATAACTATACTAAACTTTAAATAAATTATAAAACAATTTAAATTAATAATTTTTAATAAAAAATATTCAAATATATGAAAATTTTAAAAATAATAATTTTACAATAAATATTGTCATTTAGTTAAATATTACAGTAATTTATTCCACTTTTATTTGTATGAATATTCATTATAAATATATAGATAATAAAACTTTGACAAATACTAGAAACTTTTTTTTTAACCAAAAATATTTATTATAATAATACAATATCATTATTATAGTATAAATAAATTAATTATTTAAAAAATCATATAAAATATATAAAATTTAATAAATAAATAAATAATAAAATAATTTTTACCATACAAACATTTAAGTCAAATATGTAATATCAAGTTGATCACCTTGTTGTTGTTGTTGATGGTGTTGATTGTCATTATTTTGTTGAGGAGCAGTTGAGTTATCTGCAAATTGATTGACAACATAAAGCATGGTATTGTTTGTCCATTTATCTAACAGTTTCCAAGTAGTGGTCCACAGTTGCTGTTGTATCAGTTTGTCGTATGATTTTTGACTGGATTTTGTTACCCGACAGTCCTCCAGATAGACACCACTGATGTCTTCCATATGAGACGATAGGGTGGCATAGATGGTGGTCTCGGCTCCTTCCTCTGCGTTCTGCAAAAATTATCGGTAATTAGTTTATACAGTATTATTATGAAACCAATTATCAATATATAGTATTTTTATAAAAAAAATAAAATAATATTTACTCTAAATATGGGTAACGATTGTATAGGTCTGAGGTTAAAGAAATTGAATTCCTTCATCAAATCGGTACGACAAACACCCGGATGAAGACAAGCTATGGTAATAAAATCGGACAATTGATGGCCACCGCTGACCGTCACTGCAGTTACATCGGCCGCACGGGTAGTCTTCGTTAGCCATTCGTTGAATTTATAGGCAAACATAATTTGAGCCAACTTTGACTGGGCATAGGCATGATATATGGAAAACAGTCGTTCGCAGTGTATGTCCTGAAATCTGATTGTAGACGCCCTGTGCGCTCCCGACGACACACAAACTATACGCGATTTGTGTCCGCTTTGTTTGGCCGACTCGGCCAACGAATCGACGAGTTGTGCGATAAGCAAACAATGGCTCAGATAGTTGACCGCCAAATGTGTCTCAAAGTTGTCGGCTGTCAACTTGAACGGTGCAAACATGACGGCACCGTTACATATTAAATAGTTTACGGAAAGGCCGGACTGTTTAAATTTGTCGATAAACTGCATCACAGAATCCATCGACGACAAGTCCAGCGGCCATATGTCCAGTTGTCCGGTACATTGATCGCTCAATTGGTCAACGATGGCTTTATGTCGTTTCTCGATCTCCTGTCCATCAGCTGATGACCCGGTGATTACATGACAGCCTTTCTTAAGCAATGTTTTGACCACTTCTAGGCCAATGCCACGAGTGCCGCCCGTTATGATGCAAACCTTACCGTTCAAATCGTTAACTATATCTTCATCATCGACACTAAGTTTGCGAACATTTCCTAATTCAATAGATTTTAATAGATTTTTGTTAATTTTATTGCTAAATAAATTTTATTTGTCGGATAATGTTTGCTTGTTTGCTAATTGCTCAATAAATTAAAGATTTTAAAAATTAATATTAATATATATATATATATACCAAACAATTGTAAGTTACGGTTGAGCTCCAGATATGAATAATAGGGTCCATTGAGATATGTCTTGATTGCAGTCCATGTAATGAATGCAATCTTTTGAAAGTTTAATACTACTGAATGAATTGATGATCCAATCATTTTATATATATATTTTTAAAAAAAAATTATTAGATATTATTATTATTAAATTATCATTATTTTTATTAGCAGTATAATTAAAATATTATTATTAATATTATACAGTTTAATTAATAAAAATATGATTATTTAAAAAAAAAATATATTGAATACAATTAGTTTTTCTTAAAATAGATAACAACAATTAGCAAATTGATTATCAGTTATTTGATTTTTATTGATGACTGAATATTTGGTTTGATATTTGCTAATATAGAGGACCACTAATAAATATATTGTATAACTATTACATATAGTAGTATACTATGACATGACTACTACATTATAAAAAAAGTTGACTATAAGTTATTTGGTATTAAATAGTGAGGTCACTCTACCTGGTATTAACAGGTCATTGAAATATTACTGTACTATTATATACAGTATTATATAACTAACTTGTTTAACAACATTGCATCACTAAACTAAACAACTGGTATATAATTGTTTGTTGTTGTTGTTGTTGTTGTTGTTGTTGTTAATAATAATAATAATGTTGTTGTTGTTAATAATAATAATAATGTTGTTGTTGCTTATATTTACTTAATAATACCAAATATACAGTATATATATAAGTGTATAATATATTTTTTAATTTAATTTTTTAATAAAAATACTTTAATATATAATTTAGTTAAAAGATAATGTCTAACATAAATTATTTTTATATCATTTTAATTGTTTTGTATTCATAAATTAAATTTAGATTTTGCTTGATATTACTGTGTAATAAATTGTTAGCTATATGTTAAAGTAATAAAATTTTTAATAAAATTTAATTAACTTAATATTTTTTTAAAAATAATTATTATTTGCAAATAGTTTAGTTATGATAATGTTAAATTTGCTTATAATTTTTTTTTTAAAAATGTATAAAATTATAATTAATAGAAATATTAACCTAGTCAATTAATTATAATAATTTACTTTATTATTATTAAAATAAACTTTATTGAAAAACAATAACTGTAAAACTTAAAATGGATAATAAAATTTAATTAACTAAATTTTAGAAATAATGAAAATTTATCTTGAACATAATTCATAATCAATTATAAATATGAAAACCATGATTTTAATAATTTTTATAATAATTTGAAAACAAATATATTGTATATTAAGTGCAATATGGCGTGTATTAAGTGCCAAACATTTTAAATATAATTGAATTACCGGTAATTATTAAAAAAAAAAATAATAATAATTTGATTATATATAACCGGTATATTTACCCGATTGAAAACCAAACCGATAAATAATAATTGTTTGAATGTCTTTTATAAACCTCTGTCCAAACACTGCCCCCTATTAGTCAATAACAATGTCTTAATAAATATGTGTTCAAACATTTAGAGAGAGAGAGAAAAAGAGAGAGAGAGAGAGAGAGAGAGAGAGAGAGAGAGAGAGAGAGAGAGAGAGAGAGAGAGAGAGAGAGAGAGAGAGAGAGAGAGAGAGAGAGAGAGAGAGAGAGAGAGAGAGAGAGAGAGAGAGAGAGAGAGAGAGAGAGAGAGAGAGAGAGAGAGAGAGAGAGAGAGAGAGAGAGAGAGAGAGAGAGAGAGAGAGAGTCTCCCTCTGATGTCTGCAAACATGTATACATGTCTTTGTGTTCGCCATTTGTATGAAATGTATTGACTATTACTGTATTACTAATAATTTAAATGAAATATTTTGTGCATTCATTCACTTAGACTTAAACACCGCTCGAAACTGTATTTTAAAGTCAAGTATTATTAATATTAATATATATTAGTGTTTATTACTGTTTATTACAATTGAATTGCATTTAAATATTATTTGAAACAAAATAATAATAAACACAAACAAAAAAAGAGAGCAAACATTGAATTTGAAACTAACTTAACGTTTATAAGTTGTTTAGTGAGTGTTGGAGTGATTGTCAGTCATTATTAATGACCATTCGGTTAGATATTTACCGATAAAAAAAAATGTCGACACCTCCCGTGCCGTACGGCACACCACCACCACCACAACCACCTCCATCATCATCAACATCAATGCCGCCTCAATCAGGAGGAGGAGGAGGAGGAGGGGGAACTGGCATTAGTGGTCTACACAGTGGACCGGCTATTGGACCCGGAGGAGGACCCGGCGGCAGCGGACCGCCACCGTTACCACCGCAAATGACACCAATGAACCAGTTGATGATGAATTACGGTCCGCCGCCACCACCACACCATCAACAGCCTCCGCTGCCGCCGCAACAACAACAACAACAGTTTGGAGGACCGCCAACAGGAGGTCCACCACCACATCAATCACCACTAACAGGCGCTATGATTAATACAATTGGTGGACAACAACAACAACAACCACCTCAACAACATCATCCGCCAACTAGACAGACACCACCACCGACTGCGCCCTCTCCACAGGGATTGGTACCGCCATCGCCGGCACATTCGCCGTCAGGGCAGCCAATGCCGCCGATGAATGCGATGAACGGTGGTCTCGCCGGCGAGTACACGATTGGTGGCGGTGGTGCTATGATTGAAAGCCGACTCAATACACACCAGGCGACTCAACTTCGTTACCAAATAATGGCCTACCGATTGTTGGCCCGCAGTCAGGCGATTCCCGAGCACATCACACAGGCTTTGCTCGGCGGTAAACGAATGACACCATCGCCTCAAATGTTGGCACCGTCTCCTCAGATGCAGATGCAAATGCAACAGCCTATGGGTCCGCCTCCTCCACCACCACCGCACCAATGGAGGCCACTAATGGGTAAATGCTATAATAATTATCAGCATTTGATTCATAGGTTTTGATTGACTTTGATTGCAATTGATTGTCATTGATTTTTATTAGATAACTCAATGTCGATGGTGCGCTCACCAATGGGTCCGCCCAATACACCACCAATGGCACCGGTGTCATCAGTCGGACCACCAGTTGCGCCTGGTTCTGTAACTGGTCAACAGCCACCACCACCACCTGCATTATCTCCACATATGCCGCCACAAACTACTTCGGCAATGCAGCAGCATCAGCAGCCGCCGCCTGGAGTGTCAGCACAATTGCCGCCACCGTTAATGAATCAGATGCCAATTCCAGGAGCCCCGGCTCCACCAATTGGGCCCAACGTAACAAATAAGCTGCCAATGGTCGCCGCCTCGACGGGTGGTGGTCAAGCAATGGCATCGACACAAATGGGTCCGCCAATGGTGAACGAGCCGCAGCCGGCTAGCGGTCCACCAATCGGTCAGATGACTCAGCAACAGATAAATGCTTATCAAGGAATGATGGCTCAACTGCAGCAACAGAAACAAAGTCGTGTCACACCAGTGGCCAAACCGCAGGGCATGGATCCGATTGAGATCCTAAAAGAAAGAGAGAATCGTATCTCTCAACGAATTGCCCACCGAATAATCGAATTGTCGACTCTGCCGGCAAATTTGCCCGAAGATTTGCGGACCAAAGCCATGATTGAGTTACGAGCACTTCGACTATTGAACTTTCAGAAACAATTACGACAAGAAGTGGTCAGTTTTTGATTTGTCAATTGATTTTTTAATAGATAATTGTATTTTTATTTTGTTTTTAACGGAATTAGGTTTCTTGTATGAGAAAGGATACTATTCTGGAGACTGGACTCAATCCCAAACTCTATAAGCGTACGAAACGAATTGGTTTACGAGAGGCCAGAGTCACCGAAAAATTGGAGAAACAGCAGAAGATTGAACAGGAAAGGAAACGACGACAGAAACATCAGGAATACCTGAACGCTGTCCTACAGCACGCAAAAGACTTCAAAGACTATCACCGAAATACTTTGGTTAAGGTGTCCAAAGTGAACAAAGCTGTGGCCGTATATCACGCCAACACCGAACGCGAACAGAAGAAAGAACAGGAAAGAATCGAAAAGGAAAGAATGAGACGTTTGATGGCCGAAGACGAAGAAGGCTATCGTAAACTGATTGACCAGAAGAAAGATAAACGATTGGCGTTCTTGTTGTCGCAAACCGATGAGTATATTAAAAATTTGACGGATATGGTTAAACAACATAAAGATGAACAACGAAGGAAAAAGAAAGAGAAACGTAAGGTCAAGAAGAAAAAGAAACCGCAAACAACTGAAGGCGACAACAAACCGGAGGGAAATAGTGCTGCCAATGATTCAATACAAACGGAAGGTTTGTTTGTTTGTTTGTTTTTGTGTTTAATATTTAGATATTACCGATAGTAGTAGTGATGAGATTTTTTTAATTATTATTTTCAAAACAATACGATTATTAACCGATAAATAGGACTTATGGACGAGTCGTCGCAACATTCGGAGATTCACGTGAATGTTATGGATCCGGACGGCAATATAATCAGTGGTAAGGACGCACCATTGGCCTCCCAGTTGAAGGCATGGCTGGACGTACATCCCGGCTATGTTGAAGCGCCGCGCGATGACGAGGAATACGAAGAAGAGGAATATGAAGAAGACGAAGAAGAGGAATACGATGACGAAGAAAAGGCTATCGAGATATCTAACGCTATTCAACAGCAGCTGAAGAGTCCCGATTTAACTAATCTGAAGCCAGTGACCACTGAGGACGACGAGTATAACAAAGAACATCAGGATCAGGTCAACTACTATAATATTGCTCACGGCATCAGAGAAGTGATTACCGAACAGCCGTCAATTATATCGAGTTTCGGCAAACTAAAGGCCTACCAAATCAAAGGTCTCGAATGGCTGGTATCACTCTATAATAACAATCTCAATGGCATTTTGGCCGATGAGATGGGCTTAGGAAAGACCATTCAGACGATTGCTTTAGTCACTCATCTAATTGAACACAAACGCAATAACGGGCCGTTTCTTATAATAGTACCCCTGTCGACAATGTCTAATTGGATGCTTGAGTTTGATCGATGGGCGCCCACTGTCAGCAAAGTAGCCTACAAAGGTGTGAATGCTTTTTTTTGTTATCTAATTTTGCTGTTTATTTTATTTGTATTTTTTTAATACCATTAAAAAAAGGTTCGCCAAATGTCCGCCGAATAATGTCTACTCAGATGAAGTCGACAAAGTTTAACGTATTGTTGACGACATACGAGTACGTAATCAAAGACAAGGCTATATTGGCAAAGATTCGATGGAAATATATGATCATCGATGAGGGACACCGTATGAAGAACCATCACTGCAAGTTGACACAGATTCTCAACACCCACTATATGGCACCCCATCGACTGTTGCTGACGGGAACGCCGTTGCAAAATAAATTGCCCGAATTGTGGGCATTACTCAACTTTTTGTTGCCATCGATATTCAAATGTTGTAACACTTTTGAACAGTGGTTTAACGCACCGTTTGCCACAACCGGCGAAAAAGTGGAACTAAACGAAGAGGAAACGATTCTTATCATTCGTCGCTTACATAAAGTTTTGCGACCGTTTCTGCTCAGACGTCTCAAGAAAGAAGTGGAGAGTCAGTTGCCCGACAAAGTCGAGTATTGTGTTAAGTGCGATATGTCGGCACTTCAGCGACTACTCTATCGACACATGCAGAGCAAAGGTATTGTACTTTTAATATTAGTATTCATTTTCAAGTTTAAAATAACTGATTTTATTATTATTATTATTATTACCGAAATAACTATTAGGTGTATTGCTTACCGATGGCTCCGAAAAAGACAAGAAAGGCAAAGGCGGAACACGAACACTGATGAACTCTATAATGCAGTTGAGAAAGATATGTAACCATCCGTTTATGTTTCAGCACATCGAGGAAGCGTATGCCGACCATTGCGGCTCATCCGACAAAATAGTGTCCGGGCCTGATCTGTTTCGGGCGTCCGGAAAATTTGAACTATTGGACAGAATATTGCCGAAACTGCGGGTAACAAACCATCGTGTATTGCTTTTCTGTCAGATGACAACAGCGATGACAATACTCGAAGACTATTTCAATTACCGAAGTTTTACTTATCTGCGACTCGACGGTACCACCAAAGCTGAAGACAGAGGCCAACTGTTGGAAATGTTTAACGCCAAGGATTCGCCCTATTTTATCTTTCTTTTGTCCACTCGAGCCGGTGGTCTGGGACTTAATCTTCAAGCGGCCGACACTGTCATCATATTTGATTCGGATTGGAATCCGCATCAAGATTTACAGGCTCAGGACAGGGCTCACCGAATTGGCCAGAAAAATGAAGTACGAGTATTGCGTTTGGTTACCGTCAACTCGGTTGAAGAGCGCATTTTAGCCGCCGCTAAGTATAAGTTGAATTTGGATGAGAAGGTGATTCAGGCCGGTATGTTTGACCAGAAATCTACCGGCACTGAACGCAAACAGTTTCTACAGGTAATTGATAATAATTTTATTGAAACAATTGTTTTTGTATTGTTTTGTAACTTATTTTTATTGCCTCTCTCTCTCTCTGTATTGTTTAGGCAATTCTTCAAAATGATGAACAAGACGAAGATGAAGATGAAAATGAAGTGCCGGACGATGAGAATATCAATGGTATGATTGCCCGAAGCGAAGAAGAGTACGATATGTTCGGACAGATGGACATTGACCGCCGACGCGAAGAAGCCAAGAGTATAAAGCGTCGGCCGAGGCTTATGGAAGAGGACGAGTTGCCGTCCTGGCTCATCAAAGACGACGCCGAAGTTGAACGACTGACCAATGAGGAAGAAGAGGACAAACTGTTTGGTCGCGGCTCACGACAGCGCAAAGAAGTTGATTACAGCGATTCGTTGACTGAAAAACAGTGGCTCAAAGCCATCGAAGACGGCAATATTGACGAATTGGAGGCCACCGAAGGCCGATTGAGTCGATCGGCGAAACGGCCGCGCGGTAAGGGTAAAGGCAAAAAACGAAAGGGTGGCGACTATGACTACGATGACGATAATAAGTCAACGCCACCGCCTATCAAGAAAAAGAGAGGTCGACCAACACTCGAAAAACATCCACCAAATCCACCCAAACTGATGGCCAAAATGAAAAAACTGCTTCACTTTGTCGTCAATTATGTCGACGCCGACGATCGGGTATTGTCCGAAGCCTTTATGGAATTGCCGTCGCGTAAAGAATTGCCCGATTATTACGAAGTGATTCGCAAACCAGTGGACATTAAGAAAATCAAGAATCGTATCGGCAATCATCGGTACAGAAATCTGGACGATCTTCAGGAAGACTTTATGCAGTTGTGCCGAAACGCACAGACCTATAACGTCGAAGGATCGCTCATCTATGAGGACTCAATTATGTTGCAATCGGTGTTCACCAAAGCCAGAGAAAACTTTGAAAAAAATGACGACTCGTTTACACCAGAAGACGACAACACCAACACTAATAACAATAATAATGACGACGACGAAGAGGTTTGTGTTATTATTTTTACGGATATTTTGTATCAATTTTTTTACTGAGTTTTGATTTGATTATCGATTGATTAGGGAGAGGAAGATAATGACGACGACGATGTCGATGATGACGATGACGATGACAACAACTCGAACATTAAAATGAAAATCAAAATGAAAAGCAAAAACCGATCGTCGGAACCGTCGACTAGTGGTTCGCGAAATAAGCCGCGAATGGCCCGACAAATCAAACGATACGTTTCAGATGATGAAGACTCTGAGGAAACCGATGAATGATTTCATATTTATTGATAATAATTATAATAATAACAGCGTTTAAAAATACATTTGACACAAACAAACACACACTTACTTTAACATAATTATTGCACATTTGGTAACATTTTCCCCTATTTTATAGCAATTTTTCAAATTCTTTATCCCTAACTCTGTCCTATCCTTTGTTTTTCTTATTTGATTTATTTTTGTGAATAATTTTCTACAAATAATATTATTAGTTGAACAGTATTTATCAATAAATTTATTTACAATAATTTTGTCTCTTAAAAAATATTTGCTTAAATAAAGTTAAATTTAATTATTTCCAAAATAAATAAATGAATTATATAATTTTAAATTATAGTTTGTTTATTATCTGATTGAATTTGGTTTTTAAATAAAACTATTTATATATATTTGAATTATTATTTTCATTAAATTAGTAAAAATTAAAGTATCGTTAGTTAAAAAAAAAATTACCCCAAAGTATGTTTGCTTAGAATTTAAAAAAATAAATAATTCATAGAATTTATTAACAATAGAATTGTTTTTTTTTATTTTTATTAAACAAATCTAAATGTATAACAACATCGATAACAATAAATACCGTTACAATTATATAATATATATATATAATTACAATACAAAAATTTTATTATAAAGAGCTGCCGTCTTAAATAACAACAATATAATAATAATAATAATAATAATAATAACGTTAATAATAATAATAATAATAATAATAATAATAAATACATTGTAGATAAATATATTGTATATATATTTATATTATAGATACCACTTAATATTTAATCTATTATTTTTTAGGTAACATATAGTAATTGTTATTAATTAATCAATTTAATATGTTTTTAGTTTATTTAGCATCCAATGGTAAATATAATTTGTTTAAAACAATTTATAATAACAATTAATATTAAGATGCAGAGCCTATAATTAAAATACATAAAATCTCTTTACTTATTACAATATATATATATACTTATTATATATATATATAATATTTTTTGACATTTATTTTCGATGACCACAGACATAGCTATAGGCGATTTTAGCGTTAATTTGTCACAAAATTATTTTTGTATACTTAATAATAAAAAAAAACTTTAAGTTAAATATATATATTTTTTTTGGTTTTATAATTAACATAAATTTTTTATATATCAATATAATATATGAATATAACATTTTGAACGCAATCATAATTAATCTAAACTATAAAATTAACATTTTTGGTGCAAATAATGCTTTTAAGATACACAATGATAATTAGTGTAGTACATATAACTGTAAATATATATTAATAAATTTATGTTTATTTATACATAAATTATTCTACATTTTTAATAGTTTAAAAATATTTATTATAAACTGCATATAAATCAGATATAAATTTGTAATATTAAATAATTCAAAACAATCATATACAATCTATTCTAGACAATAATAAAAATAATTAATCATTATATTTGATAATACTATTGTATATATATATACCAGGCTTTCCCATTGATATTTATCGGGTTTCAATAAATTGAAATAAATTTATCGCTAATTATCATTACAACAGGGAAAACATGTTTCCTAAAATAATTAAGCATATATTGAATAACATAATATTATTTTGAACACAATTTTTTTTCTCTAATTAACAATTAGTTATTAATTAACAAATTTATTGAAAGTCATTGAAATCCAATATATTAATTGGGCAAACCTATGATATACTATGAATTAGCATTTAACCACTATATATATAGTAATATATATAAGTTGGATATATTTACCGGTATTATTTAATGCTAATTATTAGAAAATAATATCATATAATATTTAACAACACAATACAACAAACTATACACATTTAATAAAAAATAATAAATCTACCGTAAATACTCGCAAAAAACTACATGTTGTTAAATGATAGACTGGTGTTAAATGTAAAAATCAGACACATAATAGCAACCATTAGTCTTTAATGAAAATAATATTAGCCCCATGATAATGTTTTATTTTAATCAGATTAAACCTAGTTATTATTATTACAAGCATTACATAATCAAAAATAACTAAGCTTATGTAATTACTATTTTTGTTATCAAACAGTATGTCTCATTTTGACCGCTTTAATAACACAATTAAATTATATTAAAAAATAAATTAACGATAATATAGAAAATTATATAAATTTTCATTAAATATATGGATTACCACATATTACACCATAGGTTATGATTACATTTACATATTGTTGGGCCAGGTAGGGAGTAAAATGTTGGAATATACCTTACAGCAACTATTCAGTTACTCTGATTTTTAAATGGTGATATGGCGGTAAAGGTGAGCATTTACGGTAATTAATTAAATTTAAAAACACATTAGTTTTTTATATTGCTTTTTAAACTTTAAAAAACTTAATTAAACATTTGTTATAAAATTTATAAAATCTTACATCAATTATATTATGAATATTGTATTAAAATTTCTACTTTGGTTTTTTTTAAATATAAATTATTTATTATATATAAAACAACAATTTATTACACAAAAAGCTAATAGCAATTTATTGGATAATAAGTGACTAATAGAAAAAATCTAAATTAATCTTGGCAACTTTCTCAATATTCAATAAATATTATTTTTTTTAGTAAAAATTATTACTTTTTCTATAAATTATTAATAATTTACTAATTATCTTATTTTCTCATGATGATATTTTAATTGTAAATAACAGTAAATTTTATGAGTTTATTTAATTCAGTTAATTGTTATTAAATTATCAATTTTAAATATATATATATATATATATATATATATATATATATTTGACAATATTAATACTTAAATAAATTTTTAATAATTGATATTTGTTTTCTTTGTTTTTTTCAAATTAATAACATAATTATTATACTTTATAATAATATCAAAGTAAACATAATATGATTCAATTATTAAATATTTGTATCTATTTTTTGTATAAAATTAAAATATTTTTTGAATCATTTTATTTGACATTACGTTTAATTGTGCGAATCTTACGGTAATGTTATTTACCACTATTTCATTGGACTAAATATATGGCATTTAAATAGTAAAGCAATCTTTTAATATATAAATTTTGTAAAATATAAAATTAACGCAATTTCCAAGTTATTCAACAAAAATATTACTATTAAATAAATATTTGGATAAATAAATAAATAAATCATTAATTACTGTAATTTATAAATAAATTAGTAATTTGATTAATGTTATTTACTTATTACTATATACTGTATATATATATCATTTATGATAAATTGATAATTATTTTAATTTTAGTAATTACTAGATATATAATTTAGTGTTTTTATATTATTATTATTTATTATCATTACTTAGTTAGTAATATTTTAATAACAATAATTAAATTATAAAAGTCTTATACAAAAATTCAATTACATGATAATAATAATAATAAATAATATATAATTAAAACAAATAAAATATTAGTTATAAGAAATATAATCCAAGGAATTGGTATAAATACTAAACTATATATATATTAATAATAATTAATTAAATAAATGTTTGTTAGAGATATGAAAGTTAATAAAGTAAAACATTTGTAAGTAAATGATAAATAAAATAATAAATATCGTATAACAATGTTAAGTAAATATCAATTGCAAGTTTAGTTTAATAACTCAATCATAAATGACTGTATGATTTGAGTTTTTAAAAAATTGGGTTTTAATGCAATCGTATTAATAATCTGTATATATATTGTGTATAAATAGAGAATCACATAATCACATACATGTGCAGGAAGTCGATCGACTTCTGTATTCATATGGAGAACCGGAAGCAGCGGTGGCACCGGTAATACTGTTGTCGTCACAGTTGGCGAGTAGTACCGCTGATGATGATGGCAGTCCTGCTACGGGACCGATGGGAACCAACGGCACGGTTGGCATTGTCGACATACTTCTGTTTCGGCCATAAAAGCCGACATCAAAATAGACACGAATGGCGTTGAAGGCGAATGTATTCATTAGACCCAATCGATTGCACTGAAAGGTCTGTTCCAAAGCTCGACAAAGATTACGGTCGTCGCCATCCTTGGCGAACACCTGTACTGTTTCGGCACTCATTATACGAGATTTGAATCTCTCATCCATTTGTGACGAGTCTTTCACCCAATTGTTGATTTTGTGGTGAACGTCGTCCAGTATGTCCTGTTTGGACACCAAAAACACTTTCGACGACAAATATATTGGTGCCGGCGGTGGAGGACCAGTTGGCCAACCTATAGACTGGTTGTCGGCCGTACGACTTGAATTGCTAGTATTGTCCGCCGATGTTTGGCCGCCCAACAGATGCTCGAAAGGCTTAGTATAGGCCACCCGTAATATGTGTATGTAATCGCCGTGCTCTGTGTGCGAACACACCCGAGTGTCCACTTTGGTAACTAAGTATTACCCGAATCAATCAATCAATCAATCAATAAAAATAGTAAAAAATTTAATAAATTATTTTTATAAAACTTACGAGATTTGAGTTTAATGTCAATGGACTGTGCGTTTAAAAAATTGATTTCTGGATTGTCTGACAGCCATTGCGAGGCTCTGTCGATGATCGACGAAAACGACTCGAAGTGCGGTCTCTTGAATAGCGATCCGCCAGACAAATGGTGTGGAGTGAAGTCGGCTATACCTATGTGTTCATTGAACAGACCATTGTCTCCGCCGACGCCACCGACGCTGCTCTCGTAGAAGACCCGTATGATAGTTACGTGTCGTACGGACTCATCGGCAACACTAAGCTCGGTATCGATTCTCCATTCGCCGTTCGCCACGACATTCAGCGCCTCAATGGTTATAAGTCGACTGCCAGTCAATTCTTTGCTACGAATTTGGTCATTGATTCTGTTGACCACATCATCCAGATTATCAAAACTACCGTCTTTTCTGATTGGCTCAAAATCTTTATATTTCAACTCTACCGGTGCATCCCTTTCCTCATCGCGGCGTTTAATCCAAACTCTTGTTTTTTTTAATAAAATTAATTGAATAAAAAAAATCATTTATAGAAAAATAAATTCACAAATAATAAAAAAAATATTTATCTCTATATACTGTATCTACTTTTATATGTATATGACATAGATTTTTATATAGAAATATACTATATATATATATATATATATATATACCGAAGCACTTTAAGTGATGTTTCAAAGTCGCCTCTGGTCGGTGTAACCCACGGGTTGGCCGCCGGGTTTGTCTGGACTTCCCATCGGCTAACCATTGTTGTCAAGTTGTGCCGATACGACAGCTTCACTGTCTCGCAGTTCACTACATCCCACAGTATGTTCTTCTTCAGCCATACATTGCATGTATCGACTAAATGGCTAATAAAATGATTAAAAAATCATAACAATTAGTATTATTATTAATATATATATAATATCTTTTAAGTGGTATTTAAAGTAAAATAAATGATTTAAACAGAGAAAGTGGTGATGTGTATGTATTGACCAAATAGTTAACTAAATTATTAAATGATATATATATTAATAATATTAGATATATAATGAAATAAAAACATTTGAATCAATGTTATTATTTTTGAAAAATAATTAAAAAATATTTAATAAACACATCATCACCACCGCCTCCGCTAACATTAACAGTATATTAAAAAAATTATAAACAATTTTTTAAAACATATGTATTGATATATATAAATATATATATAATGTAATATATTGTGTACCGAAATGAGTGATACTCGACCTGACTGTTGGCCGAGAAGTGGTGTACCGACGGTACAAAATCAACGAATGAGAACCTGGCGTCGTGTGGAATACACTTCTCTATTATTAACGGGTCTTCGGGTTTTTCGGGACAGTTTTTCTCACGGGATATACGATTCAAATAAACAGCACAATAAGCCATCACTACTACTATTACGACTACTGATGACAACAAATATTATTATTGATTTAAAACACCAATTTATATAAGCATTAACTTATTATTTTGAATCAATATAATTGTTTTAATAGACATTTCTATTTAACTATAATTATTAACAAAACAAACAAACACTTTGATTGATAGCTTATATGATTTATTTTCTAAAATTTTGAAAACAATTTTTTTGTGTAGAAATTTAGTGATAATATTATTATTAAAAATTATTAGTACAGTATAATCATTGATAGAGATCAATACTATATAGCAACAAATGCGATTAACAATAATAACAATAATAATAATATTTTAATTTATCAAAATTTGTATTTATATATATTTATATAGTAAAATTTATAATAAAATTATTAGCATTTATTATTAAACTAATTGATAATAGTAATTTAAAAAAAATGTCACTGTAAACAAATAAATTAGACAGTAAATAGATAACTAAATAATAATATATTTTTCTAAATAAAGAATTTTTAAAATTTAAAAAAAATATTTTGTATAATTAATTTTAATACTTATAATATTATAATACTGTACTTATAATAATAATAAATAGGATTTATATAAAATATTAACTAATAATTACAGTTTATATAAATGATTTGTTGATATATTAATATATATACAGTATATATATATATATATAGTAAATATATTTTATGAAATAAATATATGTTTAACGGAAGCCATTATTTTATTGATCGCTTTTTTTGTCTGTTATCAAACACTACATATGTATTGTGTGTATAATTCTATGATAGACTCTATTATGGAAATAATGTTTACTGAATTGTAATGCACTAGAAATGTATTAAACATTTACTATATATTCTATTCTATATATAGTTTTTATATTATTTTTATTATATTATAGAAAAGTATATAGAATTTTATCTATTTTACTAATAAGTTGTATGTATTTAAACAATATATTTAATATATAAAAAATTTATTGAAATAAAGTATTTATTAAAAAAATATGTATTAAATAATTATTAAATGTTAGGTTAGGTTAGGTTAGGTTAGGTTAGGTTAGGTTAGGTTAGGTTAGGTTAGGTTAGGTTAGGTTAGGTTAGGTTAGGTTAGGTTAGGTTAGGTTAGGTTAGGTTAGGTTAGGTTAGGTTAGGTTAGGTTAGGTTAGGTTAGGTTAGGTTAGGTTAGGTTAGGTTAGGTTAGGTTAGGTTAGGTTAGGTTAGGTTAGGTTAGGTTAGGTTAGGTTAGGTTAGGTTAGGTTAGGTTAGGTTAGGTTAGGTTAGGTTAGGTTAGGTTAGGTTAGGTTAGGTTAGGTTAGGTTAGGTTAGGTTAGGTTAGGTTAGGTTAGGTTAGGTTAGGTTAGGTTAGGTTAGGTTAGGTTAGGTTAGGTTAGGTTAGGTTAGGTTAGGTTAGGTTAGGTTAGGTTAGGTTAGGTTAGGTTAGGTTAGGTTAGGTTAGGTTAGGTTAGGTTAGGTTAGGTTAGGTTAGGTTAGGTTAGGTTAGGTTAGGTTAGGTTAGGTTAGGTTAGGTTAGGTTAGGTTAGGTTAGGTTAGGTTAGGTTAGGTTAGGTTAGGTTAGGTTAGGTTAGGTTAGGTTAGGTTAGGTTAGGTTAGGTTAGGTTAGGTTAGGTTAGGTTAGGTTAGGTTAGGTTAGGTTAGGTTAGGTTAGGTTAGGTTAGGTTAGGTTAGGTTAGGTTAGGTTAGGTTAGGTTAGGTTAGGTTAGGTTAGGTTAGGTTAGGTTAGGTTAGGTTAGGTTAGGTTAGGTTAGGTTAGGTTAGGTTAGGTTAGGTTAGGTTAGGTTAGGTTAGGTTAGGTTAGGTTAGGTTAGGTTAGGTTAGGTTAGGTTAGGTTAGGTTAGGTTAGGTTAGGTTAGGTTAGGTTAGGTTAGGTTAGGTTAGGTTAGGTTAGGTTAGGTTAGGTTAGGTTAGGTTAGGTTAGGTTAGGTTAGGTTAGGTTAGGTTAGGTTAGGTTAGGTTAGGTTAGGTTAGGTTAGGTTAGGTTAGGTTAGGTTAGGTTAGGTTAGGTTAGGTTAGGTTAGGTTAGGTTAGGTTAGGTTAGGTTAGGTTAGGTTAGGTTAGGTTAGGTTAGGTTAGGTTAGGTTAGGTTAGGTTAGGTTAGGTTAGGTTAGGTTAGGTTAGGTTAGGTTAGGTTAGGTTAGGTTAGGTTAGGTTAGGTTAGGTTAGGTTAGGTTAGGTTAGGTTAGGTTAGGTTAGGTTAGGTTAGGTTAGGTTAGGTTAGGTTAGGTTAGGTTAGGTTAGGTTAGGTTAGGTTAGGTTAGGTTAGGTTAGGTTAGGTTAGGTTAGGTTAGGTTAGGTTAGGTTAGGTTAGGTTAGGTTAGGTTAGGTTAGGTTAGGTTAGGTTAGGTTAGGTTAGGTTAGGTTAGGTTAGGTTAGGTTAGGTTAGGTTAGGTTAGGTTAGGTTAGGTTAGGTTAGGTTAGGTTAGGTTAGGTTAGGTTAGGTTAGGTTAGGTTAGGTTAGGTTAGGTTAGGTTAGGTTAGGTTAGGTTAGGTTAGGTTAGGTTAGGTTAGGTTAGGTTAGGTTAGGTTAGGTTAGGTTAGGTTAGGTTAGGTTAGGTTAGGTTAGGTTAGGTTAGGTTAGGTTAGGTTAGGTTAGGTTAGGTTAGGTTAGGTTAGGTTAGGTTAGGTTAGGTTAGGTTAGGTTAGGTTAGGTTAGGTTAGGTTAGGTTAGGTTAGGTTAGGTTAGGTTAGGTTAGGTTAGGTTAGGTTAGGTTAGGTTAGGTTAGGTTAGGTTAGGTTAGGTTAGGTTAGGTTAGGTTAGGTTAGGTTAGGTTAGGTTAGGTTAGGTTAGGTTAGGTTAGGTTAGGTTAGGTTAGGTTAGGTTAGGTTAGGTTAGGTTAGGTTAGGTTAGGTTAGGTTAGGTTAGGTTAGGTTAGGTTAGGTTAGGTTAGGTTAGGTTAGGTTAGGTTAGGTTAGGTTAGGTTAGGTTAGGTTAGGTTAGGTTAGGTTAGGTTAGGTTAGGTTAGGTTAGGTTAGGTTAGGTTAGGTTAGGTTAGGTTAGGTTAGGTTAGGTTAGGTTAGGTTAGGTTAGGTTAGGTTAGGTTAGGTTAGGTTAGGTTAGGTTAGGTTAGGTTAGGTTAGGTTAGGTTAGGTTAGGTTAGGTTAGGTTAGGTTAGGTTAGGTTAGGTTAGGTTAGGTTAGGTTAGGTTAGGTTAGGTTAGGTTAGGTTAGGTTAGGTTAGGTTAGGTTAGGTTAGGTTAGGTTAGGTTAGGTTAGGTTAGGTTAGGTTAGGTTAGGTTAGGTTAGGTTAGGTTAGGTTAGGTTAGGTTAGGTTAGGTTAGGTTAGGTTAGGTTAGGTTAGGTTAGGTTAGGTTAGGTTAGGTTAGGTTAGGTTAGGTTAGGTTAGGTTAGGTTAGGTTAGGTTAGGTTAGGTTAGGTTAGGTTAGGTTAGGTTAGGTTAGGTTAGGTTAGGTTAGGTTAGGTTAGGTTAGGTTAGGTTAGGTTAGGTTAGGTTAGGTTAGGTTAGGTTAGGTTAGGTTAGGTTAGGTTAGGTTAGGTTAGGTTAGGTTAGGTTAGGTTAGGTTAGGTTAGGTTAGGTTAGGTTAGGTTAGGTTAGGTTAGGTTAGGTTAGGTTAGGTTAGGTTAGGTTAGGTTAGGTTAGGTTAGGTTAGGTTAGGTTAGGTTAGGTTAGGTTAGGTTAGGTTAGGTTAGGTTAGGTTAGGTTAGGTTAGGTTAGGTTAGGTTAGGTTAGGTTAGGTTAGGTTAGGTTAGGTTAGGTTAGGTTAGGTTAGGTTAGGTTAGGTTAGGTTAGGTTAGGTTAGGTTAGGTTAGGTTAGGTTAGGTTAGGTTAGGTTAGGTTAGGTTAGGTTAGGTTAGGTTAGGTTAGGTTAGGTTAGGTTAGGTTAGGTTAGGTTAGGTTAGGTTAGGTTAGGTTAGGTTAGGTTAGGTTAGGTTAGGTTAGGTTAGGTTAGGTTAGGTTAGGTTAGGTTAGGTTAGGTTAGGTTAGGTTAGGTTAGGTTAGGTTAGGTTAGGTTAGGTTAGGTTAGGTTAGGTTAGGTTAGGTAGGTTAGGTTAGGTTAGGTTAGGTTAGGTTAGGTTAGGTTAGGTTAGGTTAGGTTAGGTTAGGTTAGGTTAGGTTAGGTTAGGTTAGGTTAGGTTAGGTTAGGTTAGGTTAGGTTAGGTTAGGTTAGGTTAGGTTAGGTTAGGTTAGGTTAGGTTAGGTTAGGTTAGGTTAGGTTAGGTTAGGTTAGGTTAGGTTAGGTTAGGTTAGGTTAGGTTAGGTTAGGTTAGGTTAGGTTAGGTTAGGTTAGGTTAGGTTAGGTTAGGTTAGGTTAGGTTAGGTTAGGTTAGGTTAGGTTAGGTTAGGTTAGGTTAGGTTAGGTTAGGTTAGGTTAGGTTAGGTTAGGTTAGGTTAGGTTAGGTTAGGTTAGGTTAGGTTAGGTTAGGTTAGGTTAGGTTAGGTTAGGTTAGGTTAGGTTAGGTTAGGTTAGGTTAGGTTAGGTTAGGTTAGGTTAGGTTAGGTTAGGTTAGGTTAGGTTAGGTTAGGTTAGGTTAGGTTAGGTTAGGTTAGGTTAGGTTAGGTTAGGTTAGGTTAGGTTAGGTTAGGTTAGGTTAGGTTAGGTTAGGTTAGGTTAGGTTAGGTTAGGTTAGGTTAGGTTAGGTTAGGTTAGGTTAGGTTAGGTTAGGTTAGGTTAGGTTAGGTTAGGTTAGGTTAGGTTAGGTTAGGTTAGGTTAGGTTAGGTTAGGTTAGGTTAGGTTAGGTTAGGTTAGGTTAGGTTAGGTTAGGTTAGGTTAGGTTAGGTTAGGTTAGGTTAGGTTAGGTTAGGTTAGGTTAGGTTAGGTTAGGTTAGGTTAGGTTAGGTTAGGTTAGGTTAGGTTAGGTTAGGTTAGGTTAGGTTAGGTTAGGTTAGGTTAGGTTAGGTTAGGTTAGGTTAGGTTAGGTTAGGTTAGGTTAGGTTAGGTTAGGTTAGGTTAGGTTAGGTTAGGTTAGGTTAGGTTAGGTTAGGTTAGGTTAGGTTAGGTTAGGTTAGGTTAGGTTAGGTTAGGTTAGGTTAGGTTAGGTTAGGTTAGGTTAGGTTAGGTTAGGTTAGGTTAG